AATGGGTAAGAAAATATCTATATAATGACCAAGTAGACTGACCTCTCTTGATTCCATCTCCACTTAGCAGTTGTTGCAGGTCCAGAATCATGCTCTTGGGGGCAACATACTCTCGAGCCGCAGCGTTGATAGCATCGGAGATAAATCTAGAAATGAATGGTATATCCATCATATTTGGAAGCAGCTTCTTGTGTAAAGGTGTAATAGCAATGGAAACTTTGGGAAGCCCTGTAAGCGTAATCAAAGTATGCTTGATGCTATCAATGTGTAAGTCTCTATAATTCAATAAATACCTAGAATACTCACAAGGGAGGATCCGGGATGAGTTCAATGCGCATTCTAGCTGTTCCAACCACCCCAGTAATCTCAGCCCAGACAGCTGTACCCACTCCTCAGTAAATGCACACCAACATAGGGAAAGGCTTACGTATTGGTACAGCATCAAGTCCTTTGATACCCAAGTAGAACTCGACCAATAAACTATCGCGTGTGAGGCTCGTCGTGTGGAATATTGATTCAGACTTACTGGATATTCTCCGCCTTTTCCGACCATTGGGTCTTATTGGGAGCAGCTCGGTACGCAAAACTCAATTCATAGTTGACATGTTCCCCTTGGATTTGCTCTCTGTCTTCCTCTTTAAGGGACTGGGTAACTTCTTGCATTTCAGCATCTGGAAGCGCGCGCAATGAAGTGATTCGAATTGGATTCTTGCCCAGTCCCAAATCAGATATACGGACGGAATGCTGGAATAACTGTTAGTTATGCAAGCATTGGACAATGTTCAAACATACAATAAACGTGGGAACGGAGGCTTGCATGATATCTTCGAGCATATCTACGGTACTAATGAACCTGGAATAGATCGTCTCAGAATGTTTCTCAATACGTGTTCGAGGTAAGTATACTCACATATCGGTATTGATTATTGGCCATACTCCTCCCAAGAGACTATTGAGCCATTCGGCACTCTCCTTGATCTTCTCATCTGCCTCAATCTTTCCGTCTTTGTCCTTGTCATAACCCGCCTGGAGACCTCTTCGTCGTTCGACCTCCCATGCTCGCCTATCCGCATCATCCTCGCCTTTGCTCTGCATCCTGTACATCCATAAAAGTGACAACGCAGCAGGGATGCCGAGAGAAGGTATGAGGAGGAGCAAGGGACGCGAGGTGAAGGCCGGTGGTGAAACCGAAAAGGTGATAATAGGCAAGATGGTAAATGCCAGAGTCATTCGAGATACGGTTGTACTCAATAGTGACAAGAGATATTCGCGTTGACTTCCAATTTCTATAGCGAATAGAATATGAGTGAATGCTTGTAAGCATTAAATAACGGACGGACCTGGAGGAGGGAACTCCATCTTGAGAACGTTTTCACCCAGTTTAATTTCTTCAGGTTCTTCGGTTGCGTCCCTGATTTCCTTTAATAAATGTCAGATTAAGCGAACAAGTACGCTGAGCCACGGACCATCTCTTCACCCGTGACAGGATCTCGAACTCTTTGCCCCTCTTTGCCCGGTTGCGTTACTTCTCCGCTCTTTTGTTCCTGTTTTTGCATAATTTCGTTTTGTTTGTCATTGGTCGCCTGTTGTGGGTCCCGGACCTGCGTGAAAGTGCGTTTTAACTTGTCCATAACGCTCGACTAGATGTTGATCATATACAAAAGGTTTCTGGATATTAGAGGGAGTATCCACTTGTAAAATGCCCTGGTATTGTCGTTATGTGGACGTTTACACGGCAGCGAACACTTTTAGACGATATATATTCTTGGAACGAGTGTCAGTTCTGAAGACACGTTGTGTGGTCGAGTTTGCGGCGTGTAGTGCTATGTCCCCCTGGAGATGGTGAGGTCCAAGTTGTGAGAGTTGACCTTCAAGGTGCGGAAACAGGCTCCCCAAAGTGACGTAGAGGTCGAGAGTGGTATTCATTCAGGTTTGTTCGTCTCGTAGCTGGGTGGCCGTGCTCCAATCCTTGGCTTCTCTCTGTAGACACCGCATCCACTGTAGGAAGGCGGAGCCCATCCACGGAGCTGAGGTGGGTTACCCGCTGAAATTTCAATGGTGGAGAGGTCGATGGAAAGTGGAGAATCCACGAGATGATGGTGGACCTGCCACCATGCCGCAGTGGGTCTCCTACTAAGGTGCAGTGGATTTGCCATCACCAGGCAGTGGAAAATGAAAGGAAATCCACGTGCTTATAGTGGCGAACCCAATGTTGAGCAATGGACTATCCAATGACGTGTAGTGGGAAACCTACTCCAGCGTGGTGGTTTACCCAGTGTATACAGGTGATAATGCATTGCTTATTCTCACTGGAATCACATATAATCGTTCGAAAGTATGCTTTATTCATCTATAAGACTTAAATAACACTATAGTTACTTGGCACCAAGAAGAGGAGACGTCCTCGTGTGGACGTGCGGTCTCGATTCGAGTAAGGAATGTCGACAAAGAGAGCAATCAAATTTACTTGGGCGATTAGTAGTGAATGAGGTATTGACAGTGCTGAGGAAGGACTAGGTAGAAGGAACGAGCGGCGATAGTTGGTAGATGGTGTCGGAGTGGTCAGAAAATATTTTTATCGTATCGGAAACAGTACCATACTTGGTGTATAAATGCTCGGTTAGAGTGCACTGGACTGAGCTCGAGAACTTGCGCGGGTTAGACGTGCTGATGGCGGAGCGGGAGGGAGCATAGCCTATTTATTGTGATGAGATGAACACAATTACAAGCAGAAGACATACCGATTTCTTTCCTTGCTGTTTGGACTCTCCGTTCTCCGTCACGATTGGACGCTAACGGTTAGGCAAATTTAATGAGTAAGTTGTGATAATGATGTGAGATGACGTGCCTTGGGGATTCTGAGAGTTAAAGACGAGTCTGAATTCGTATTGTCCTGTATATAGAGCCTCAGTCCATACTCAGTCGCAGAATGAAACACGCGCCTTGACTTTTCCTTTCCCTTTATTACGCTTTGGTGGGGAGACCGGCTCTTGTTCTTCTTCCTCTTCGTTTGCTCGATAGATCGATCCAGAATCCTCGGAGTCGGAACGAATGTTGAGATGATTTGCCAAGGAGCGTAACTGTATGTAGTCATAGTCAGCATCAAGTGATGAAAAGGACTATATAATAATGGATGACGATATGAACCGGGCTAGACGGAGGTGACGCATTGTTGACATCAGAAATAAGCCTTGTAAAGTTTTGCGCGGCAAGCATGGCCTTACGCGAAGTCGATGTTACAGAGGGTGGTGTTTCTCCTTGCGCGTGCGTCATCTTTGGCGTTGTTAGCATGCGATGTGAAGACTTGGGCGTTGCGCTCGCCGCTTGTGCACGTTCCGATGGGGTCGACGTGCCTTGCAAGGTGCTTGCAGGCTTTTTGTTGTGAATTCCTGGTCGTTTAGCTGCACCATTTGGATCTAATTGAGAGGACGAGGGCAATGCGCTGGGAATGGGTCGTGCGACTGGATTTGTGGTTGCGGGTGAGCTGTAAAGATCGCAAGTCAGATAGATTCAAGTGTATTATTTTGAGCGTCTCACGTTTTGCTTCGTCCATTTTCGATAAGTTCCTTCTCAAGCTTCTTCATCTCCTGGTCGATCTTGTCAAAAGCACCGCCAGCAATTGGAAATGCAGTTCCTGGTCACTTGTCAGAATGAAAGAAGCAGGGCATGATGAAGAGGGCATTACGATCGGAGTACTGGACAATATCCACAACTTCCTGGAGATAGAGGTGGACTCGGTCATCAACAATCCTCTTTTTAATCGTCTCCCAAAGCGCCGGACGGTCCGTCATCGGCACCTTGTCAAATTTGTACCTTTGGAGTTGATTCCTGCACTCGACTAGCTCCTCCTTGTACATTTCATGCAAGATTTTCTCGGTATCAGGTCGGCGAGGTTTTGCTACAGGCTTTGGAGATGGTGATGATGTGACGTGTCGATCATATTGAGCAGCCACATCTGGCAAAGAGGTACTTGTGTAGGCCTGTCCATGTACAAAGGGGGAGGGGCTTCTGCTCGCAAGGGTGATATCACGAGTAGAAGCACGTAGCACCTGAGAGGAGGTGACGCGGTCATAGGGTAATACTGTGTACATGGGGAGGCGATGCTCTGGACTTCGAGAATGGGCTGGACGAGACGAACTCTGGGGCTGCGATCGACGATACGTTTTTGGAAGGCCTGTAGGACGAGAAGGTGTGGGACGGGAGGAGGATGCTCGAGACGAAGATGGTTTGGATAGGCTGACTGGTCAATTTGCTTGAAGGGCGGCATACTACAAGTTATTTTATGTCAAATTGATGACTGTGATGTATACTCACTTGAGGGGCAAATAGATCGTCACTTTCAATATCCATAGACTGGAAGTTTGCATCAATGAGAGCACTTGTGGGAAGAGAGGAATTCACCTACCAATTCTCTGTGACCATGCGCTCGGCCAGTCTGAAACCATGTATGAGCATCTTAGGTCTATGGATGCTACTCACCTTTTGCCTTTTGCGTGGCGGGCCATCTTCCTCGGCATCCTCTCTTGATGATCCCTGATCAGGATGATTGTCGGCCTCAACTTCAAGATCTCCACCATCTGAACCGACATCATCCTCGCGTTGAAGATCGTCAGGGTCGTTAAATGCCTCC